TCATCTTTTAAAAAAAAAAAAAAAAAAAAATTCAACTAGTACAAAAGAATATGTGAAGAGTTGCCCATCTCTATTCTCCAGTTTCCAAGTTCTCTTACTGAGAGGCAATTCCTGTTCATTTCTATGTGTCCTACCAGAGATAAATTGATGCAAATATAAGTATATATGTGAATATGTTATTTTTTTGCACAAATGATAGCATACTATATGCACTGTTCTCAACCCTGATTTTTTGTTGGTAAGTCAGTCTGTCAGTCATTTTATTGTAGGTAATCTGTCTCTTTGGCACTTTTTTCCCCTACTTTTTAGGTTGGAAAATTTCAAACATATGAAAGTAAGAGAATAGGGGCTGGCAGGTTAGTTCACTTGGGAGAGCATGGTGCTGGTAACACCAAGGTCAAGGGTTCAGATCCCTGTACTGGCCAGCTGTTCCCCCCCCCCCCCAAAAAAAAAATAAAAACAGAATAGTACACTGAATTCCTGTGTACCTGCCACCTGGATTCAGTGGTTATTAACTCATGGCCAATCTTGTTTCATCTATATCCCCTAACCCCTGCTCCCTCACCCACACACCAAGGTTATTCCGAAGCAAATATCAGACATCATATTTCATTTCATCTATAAATATTTTGGTATGTGTCTATAAAATATAGGGACTCTTTTCAAACATTACAACAAAACTACCACTTCTAAAAAAAGAACAGTTCTTTAATGTCATCGAATATACAATAACTGTTCAAATTTTCCCTATTACCTCCTAATTTTTTTGGCAGCTGCCTGGTGTGGGGATCTGAACCCTTGACCTTGGTGTTACAAGGCTGCACTGATCATAAACGTTTGTGTGTTTTTTAGTTTGTTTGAATCAGAATTCAAATAAGGACTACACACTGCAATTGGTTGATATGTTTCTTAAATCTCTTAATCGATAGGTGCCCTTTCCATCTCCACACCCCCCCTTTTTTCTCCTGTGGGATTTTGTTGTTGAAGAAACTGGGTGGTTTATCCTATACAGCTTTGAGTGGTTGCATCCCTGAGGTGGTGTTCTTTTGTTTCCTGTATTTCCTGAATATTGATTAGATTTAGATGCTAGCTTCAGGGTTTTTGGGGGGCAAGAATATTTCATAGGTAGTGTTCTGCATTTCCATGTTTTGGGGGGTGGGGGGGCTGGCCGGTACAAGAATCAAACCCTGGACCTTGGTGTTATCAGCACCATGCTCTAACCAACTGAGATAACTGGCCAGCCCCATGTTGTGTACTTTGATAAGTAGATACAAAGTCTCTTACTCGTTTTAGGATCTTTTCTTCAATGTTCTGAAGTTTCACTACAATGTGTCTAGGTGAGGATTTCTTTATTTTTTCTTTTTTTTTCCTCCTGTTTGGATTCTTGAATCTTGAAGATTGGCATCTTTCATGAATTCTCAGCTATGTTCTCTTCAAATATGCCACTCTCTTGTTTTCTCCGTTTGTCACCTGAACTCCAATTAGACATCATCTATAGGCGTGGGACCTTTAAAACTAGGCTATAGGCCACCAGGAATCAGATGATCTCAGAGCAGGGTCTGCTCCAGTACTTACCCGAGTGGAGTTGTGGTTTTTCATTGTTTCCATTGACTGTTTCCTATACTTTATTGACAGTGCACCATATATGTGTATGTGTTTTTGTTTTTTAAAAAAATCTACAGCATCCAGTATTCCCAGGTGCTCTCCCATCCAAGTACTAACTGGGTCTGACCCTGCCTAGCTTCCAAGATCAGATGACATTGGGCGCATTCAGGGTGGTATGGCCGTAGACGAATGTTTGGATATAGATATACATATATATACACGCACTTAAAAATATATCTTGAGGGCCGGCCCGTGGCTCACTCAGGAGAGTGCGGTGCTGATAACACCAAGGCCCCGGGTTCGGATCCCATATAGGGATGGCCGGTTGGCTCACTGGCTGAGCGTGGTGCTGACAACACCAAGTCAAGGGTTAAGATCCCCTTACCGGTCATCTTTTAAAAAAAAAAAATATATATATATATATTTTTTACCGGTCATCTTTTAAAAAAATATATATATATATATCTTGAGGGGGGCTGGCTGGTAGCTGACGTAGTTAGAGCACAGCGTCGATAACTTCGTATAATGTATGCTATACGAAGTTATTACGCACACACCAAGGTTAGGGGGGGGGGATATATATATATGTATATATACACATATAAAATCTTGAGGCTGGTCAGTTATGGCTGGTTAGCTCAGTTGGCTCAGTTTGATCCCTGTACCAGCCAGCTGCCACATACACAAAAATAAAAACATTAAAAAAAAAATATATATATATATATGTATATGTATCTTGAAATCCATTCCATATCAGTACATAGTCTACCTCATTCCTTTTCTTTTTTCATTTATTGAAGTATAACTTAACATTTGGTAAAATGCACAGATCTTAAGTATACATCTTTAAATATGTATATACCTATGTAACCTCCCCCATATCAAAATACAGAACATTTCCAGCACCACGGAAGGCTGGCTCCTTGTGTTCCCTCTCTCAGGCATTACCCACTCCCAAGATTATCCACATTCTGACCTCTATAATTACAGATTAGTTTTGCCTTTATTTAAATTTTATATAAATGGAATCATACACAGTACTAATTGTATCTCGGTATCCATAGGAGATTGATTCCAGGACCCCCCCAGATACCAAAATCCTCTGATGTTCAAGTCCCTGATATAAAATGGTGTAGCATTTTTATAAAACCTAGGCATATATCTTAAATCATCTCTAGATTACTTATAATACCTATTACAACGACCATGCATCACTTGTGTGCATTAAATGTAGTACTCGGCCTGTGGCAAATTGAAGTTTTACTTTTTGGAACTTAGTGAATTTTTTTTTTTTCTGAATATTTTCTTTTTCTTTTTAAAATTTTTGTTTGTTTTTCTTGAATATTTTAAATCTGTGGTTGGTTGAATCCATGGATGCATAACTCACACTTTTGCATTTGACTTCTTTCATTCAACATTGTCTGTGAGCTTGATCTATGTTGAATATGAGTAGTTTGACCTTTTTCATTGCTGTGTAGAATTCTACCTTATTCTTCTTAAAGTTAACTCTCACTTTATAGCTATACCATAATTTAGTTAATCAATCCTCTGTGGATGGATATTTAAGTTGTTTTCAGTCTTTTGTTAGTACAAACACTACTGCAGCACATATGTTTGTTCATACATCTTTGCTAATCTTCAAAAAGTTCATGGATTCATATTATCTTTTAATTCTATTTTTCCACGAACTTTTTTTTTTTTTTTATAAAAGATGACTGGTAAGGGGATCTTAATCCTTGACTTGGTGGTGTCAGCACCACGCTCACCCAGTGAGCTACTCGGCCATCCCTATATGGGATCCAAACCCGTGGCCTTGGTGGTGTCAGCACCTCACTCTCTCGAGTGAGCCACGGGCCGGCCCCTTCCATGAACTTTTTGAAGTAACCTCATATGTGTAAATATATCAGTAGGATAAAATCTTAGGTGTGTAAGTTCTTGGTGAAAGAGTATGTGCATTATTGTGTTTTAATAGATATTGCCAAATTGCCCTCCAAAGACGGTATATTAATTTACACACTCACTGATGGAGTTTGGATGTGTTGTCCCCTCCGAAACTCATGTGGAAATTTGATCTCCAATGTGGCAGTGCTGGAAACTGATTGAGTCATGGGGGTGGATCCCTCATGAATGGATTAATGCTCTCCCTGGGGGAGGGCGGATTAATGAGTGAGTTCTCACTCAATTAGTTCCTGCAAGAGCTCGTTACTTAAAAAGACCCTGGCACCTTCTCTCTCTCTCTTGCTTCCTCTCACCATGTGATCTGCTTGTACCCGCCAGCTGCCTGCCACTTTCTGCCATGAGTAGAAGCAGTCTGAGGCCCATGCCAGATGCAGCTATCCCAGAATCGTAAGCCTAATAAACCTCTCTTCTCTATAAATTACCCAGTCTCAAGTATTCTGTTATAGCAATACAAAAAGGACTAATACACTCACCAATAATATATATCAGGGTCTGTTTCCAAACATCCTTGCCAACTATTAACAAATATTTTTATCTTTGTCAATCTGACAGGTAAAAATTAGAAACCTATAATTTTATGTATTGGCCAGCTGCCAAAAAGAAAAAAAAAGTAAACTATAATTTTAACATATTTTGGGCCAGCCTGTGGCTCACTCGGGAGAGTGTGGTGCTTATAACACCAAGGCCACGGGTTCGGATCCCAGATAGGGACGGCCGGTTAGCTCACTGGGTGAGCGTGGTGCTGACAACACCAAGCCAAGGGTTAAGATCCCCTTACCAGTCATCTTTAAAAAAAAAAAAAAAAAAAATAATAATAATAATTTTAACATATTTTTGTTTCTTAACTGAAAATACATGCACGTGATTAAAAAATTCAAGCAATATAAAAGGATATACAATGAAAGTTATATATTATCCCTACTCTCTTACTCCTATTCCCTATTTCCTCTGGTTCCCTTTCCAGAGACAACCGCCAATGCCAGTTTCTTGTGTATCTTCCAGATATATCCTAGGCAAATCATGCATATGTAAGTACATATGGGTGTATATGTGTATGCATGCACATGTGTTTGGATATCTCTATCTGGTCTTGTTTATTGATGAAAACATAAGATTATTTTCTTTTTTTCACTTAAAATATCTTATTTTTTATTTTATTTTATTTTTTATTAAAAGATGACCGGTAAGGGGATCTTAACCCTTGACTTGGTGTTGTCAGCACCACGCTCAGCCAGTGAGCGAACCAGCCATCCCTATGTGGGATCCGAACCCGTGGCCTTGGCGTTATCAGAACCACACTCACCCGAGTGAGCCACAGGCCGGCCCTAAAATATCTTTTTTTTTTTTTTTTTTTTTTTTTT